CTTTATTTTTCTTCTTAGCCGTCTACTGACTCTTGACCTATTTGTTATTTATGGTTCCTCTCCTCCAGCTGGACATCAGCTCCTTGAGAGCAAAGACTCTGTTTTGTACACTGGGTGTACCGTGCCTGAAACAGCACCTGACACGTGTTGGGCCCTCACAATACAGTCTACAGGACAGAATATATACCACTTTACTGATAAAAGAGTGTGTGCGTGTACAACTGCATACACATAAGCACACACAGAAAAAATTCCGAAATTCAGGACATATTCCAAGATGGGACGTTATCTCTGGGCAGTGGAGATGTATGTAACTGTAATATTTACAATTACTTTTTTTGGGGTATTCATTACATTTTCTAAAACAAATATGGATCACTTCATAACAAATATATTAAAAACAGAAAAATAAGCCACCCCTTAAAACCGAAGCCCAGGGAGGTTAGCAACTTACCAAGGTCATACCACTAGTTAAGTGGTGGAGCTGAGACTGAACCTAAGAAGTCTGACTCCTCTGTGCATTAGTGCTTTCCCTGCACTAAGAGGGCTATCCTCTTCCAGGCCTTCTCCTAAGAAAACTGTGCTGCAGCCGCTTTCTCCAAAAAGCAGCCCTATTAGACAATAGGAGACACACGATTAGTTCCAGCCCCTCCTGGAGACAAGTAAACAGCTGTCAGCAAAACCAAAGAGCTCAGTGAGGTGCCAGAGCAATTGGAGCTGCAGACTGGGAGGTCCGGGAGGACGTCAGAGGAAGAGCCCAACAATGTGATGCTCAGTGCTCGCTGCAATGCCCCCTGGGAGGGCAGGGAAGCAGAAGCTCGCTCCCCTCAGCGCAGGGGGCCTGTCTGAGGAGCGGCCCCAGGGGGTCCGCTGAAGCCAGATGCTGGGCTGGAACAGGCTCTGGAGGGGAGCGCAGAGGGATGAAGACGAGCACGCGGACAACTGGGAACGATGGCTGCTTCAACTTCCCTGGGTGGTACCAACCGCCCGGCCGCCCACCCACTGTGACAGTGACGGACGGTGGGGAAGGAGGCCTGGGGCAGGGTGGTCGCCGCCCTTGTGGGGCTCAGGGCAGCAGCTGTTTCTCTACAGGGATGCTGTGGCGGCAGGAGCGGTCACACCAACACGCCCCAGATGACAGCAGCCCCGTCCACACCCGCTCCCTCTCTCCGCAGCCTGAGGAGCAGGCTGGTGTGCCCATGGCTAGCACACAGCTCCGTCCTGCCTGTCAAGACCCTTAATTAGGGTCTCCTGAACACCCTTCTCCAACAAATAAAACCAACCCTGTCCCCCACCCAGACACGAAAGCCCAGCTGCTTTCAGAGGCAGGGCCACAGACAGGAGAGAGCAGCTGCCCTTCTTGTTCTCTGCCAAAGCTAGCTTAGCCAAATCCCCAGGAAAACGCTGTCGCACATGAAACATGAAAACACAAACCACAGACAGTCTGCTCTGCTTCCCACACACATGTTCACACAAGCCTGCTTTCCAGCGCTGCTGATGACTTCTCCCCGATGAGGTCATCGCTACAGCCCAGCCTGTGGCTTCTGCTCTCCCTCCATTATCGTGAGCTGGTTTCAACTGACCTGACCCAGATGTGCAGGCTCAGGGGAGCAGGGGAGAAGCAAGAGCAAAGCGTGAGCGGGCTGGGAGGCCCACCCCAGCCTCCGTCCACAGGAGCCAAGCAGATCCCCGGGTGATGGGCTGCCAGACCCAGGCTGGCAGGGCACCCCATCAGAGCACTCCTAGAGAAGGTTGGCAAGGGGAGAGGCTGGTGGGGGGTCTCCCGGGACTTGCGTTTTCTTTCCTCCTCTTGGGGACCTCCCCCGGCCAGACAACACCCTCCCCAGCCCTGGGGTCACAGAGACCAGAGAGCAGGCCAGAGGCTGGAAGAGGAGGCCCGGGGCGGGGCGTCCATTGTCCCACGCTGCAGGACGCTGAAAGTTCTCAAGTGAGGCCTGAAAAGACCTCCAGATCAAGGATAAACAGGGCTGAAGGGTGTGGTCAGGATCCTACTGGAAACAAGCTTCAACCGCCCCACAGCAAACCTCCAAACAGCTAATTACCTGTCTCAAGGAAAGCACAGAGATGCCACTGGAGACAGAGGAGAGGCAGATGCTGATTTTAGCAAGACCCTGGCTCCGGCAGGCTCCATAGCGCCCCTTCTCCTTGGTCCTCCGAGGCCCGGGAGGGTCAGGAGAGGGTCTGACAGGACCTGACCTGACGGCCCAGCCGCAAATTCAGTGACTCTGAATGCAGCCCCAGGGCTTACATCCTTTAGGGATGGGAACTGCTGCGGCAGGACGGCTGCAGGGCGCACAGCACTCCACGGAGTTGCATCTGAACAGAAGGATGAGAGCAGATATCTAACGAGATAATGGAGCTGCCATCTACAGTCCTGGCGAGACCCTAACCCCACAAGCGGGAAGAAACTGTTCCGGGACCCAGCGGACCAGACTCTAAGACCTGTTAGACTGAACACTCAGGAGTCCCAGAAGATGGCCTCAATCTCAACTTCCGGTCTAAAGGCATCTCCTTACTTCACTCTGAAAGGAGCAGAGGTGCCAAGTCTCAGGGCGTCCTGCGTGTGCTGGCGCGAGGCGAGAAGGTGGAGGGCACAGGACACCCCGCCTCCCGGGGAGCCACGACGACCGGAATTCTAGGCCTTCGCTCACGGAGAAGCACGGATCAGAACCAGGCCGCCCAGGCTGAAGCGGAACCAGCTAACGCGCCGCCCACTGGTCCTGAGTAAGCTGACTTTCTGCTGACTCGAGCCTTAAGACTGCCAGCGTCTTGGTGCCTTGCCCCATCGGAGAGAGTGAGAACGAGCGTGGTGGCCACATTTCAGGATCTCAGGATCTAGCCACTTCTAAATAGACTCTGAACGCAACAGCTTTTCCCAGCCTCGTGGAAGCCACAAGTCTAAACAGAGAACTGAACAGAGGCCTCTGCTCCCAGCTGGTGAAGGAGGAAATGGGGGCACAGAGGAGGCCGCACCCGAGGGCTCTCGGAGTGCAGCTGGCAGGGGAGGGGCAAGTGAGGCCCGTCAGACAGCTGAGAGGAATGTAGAACCCAGATTCTGGGACAAGAATTTTACTCTGGTGGTGGGGGGACCTTTCCATGTTGAAGTTTCTGTTTGTTGTTACTCCACTGTCCCTCGAAGCCCCAGAGAGGGCCCTGGCTTGCTGGTGTCAGAAGCTCTGAAGCACCCAGGGAGAAAGGTAGACAGAAATCTGCCATCTTTAGGTGGCCTCTGCTGATGAAGAGAGACTCCTGTGGGCTGGCTCACCTTTCCCCTGCCCCATTAAAGATGCCCCATGTCAAAGCCCAGCTAGCTGAGTCCACTCTGCAGCTCTGTCCACACCGCTGTCCTCACCGGGAACAACCTTCTGCCTTCACGTCTCCAGGTGTGGGAGGAGCTAGCTGTGCACGGCCCACCCCACCAACCCCCAGCATCACCCCTCCATGGCCACACACTCTTGACCAGTATCTCCCAGGGACGTCTGTGCAGCTAAGTGTACATCTCCAGAGTCTGGGGTCTGCGTATTTGGGGGTACACAGTACTTGCTGATGACCCATACAATGAGGGTCATTCAGGCTGTGAAGTAAGGACACAGCCAGAGGCCCCAGTCCAGGCTAATCTTTTGGTCTGCTTCTTTGTTTGGTTTGTTTGGGGATGAGGTTAACGTCCTAAAACATCTCTAACAGAGCATCACATGATTATATTCTCAAATATTTCAGAAGTCTAACCCCTAATCCTTTTCATTGACATAAACAACAATAATAGTTCGGTGCTCATTATTCCTGTCTTTTCTTGAATGAATTTACATATACATGAACACATGTACATAGAGGTCTATTTTTTAAGCACAAGAGGGATGAGTCTCTAAGGGTTATCTGTGACCTCAGAGATCTCCCATGACAGTCCATACAGACCTCCTCCCTCCTTTGTAACAATCGCGTTGTAGCCTAGGCTGCTTACGCACCATGCCTATTAACCCTTCACACACACAGGGTCACTTAGGTTGGTTTTGGTTTTATTTTTCATTTTTCCTATCACAAATGATGCTGCAGTGGACATTCTGGCCCCTCTTTGTGACGTGCATGAGTGACTGTCTAAGTCAGACACCTAGAAGTAGAAACGCTAGGTCAGAGGGACACAGGTTTCAATATCTTATGGATCTGGCCATGTCTGACACCCCACCCACTGTGCATGAGCACCTAGGACTCGCTCGGTGCAAGGGAGTTTGGGAGAAACGAGGTGTCTGTCTCAGCTCACCAACACTGGCTCCATCTGGGCATGGTCTCAATGGGGTAACTTCTCTATGGCCTAAGCTCCCTACACCTACAGAGCCCCACCCAGCATATTGAGACATATGTGGAAGGTCCCCTTCTCCTATTTAATAGTGACTCTCAGGCCATTTCAAAAACCCACACAATGGCACCACAGGAACCAGAAGAGGATGTGGGCTCTAAACAAGCAGGGACAGAGGACAGGAAGGGAAACGACGCTGGAGACTGGGACCAACTAAAGGCCCCCTCTAGAGAAGAGCTGTACCAACTGGCTCCGCCCATTGCCTACCTTCATCCTAGGGGCAGGCACTTAATGCAGATGAAAACAGAGGAATGTGCTCCAAAGAAGTATAACCCTTGGGCTGGAGCAGGGGTAGGAAAACTCTTCTTAGTTTTCTTTTCTTTTTTTTTTTTTAAATAACTCTTGAAAAATGTAAAAACCATTCTTATCTCATGGGCCATACAAAAGGAAGCAGGCCCGATTTGGCCCATGAGCTATGGCGGACAAGAGAGCATGCAGGCTCCAGGGCACACACTGCTCAAACCGCACACTCAGGCAAGCCCAGACGGCCGACAAACCCCACTCCCCGCCTGCACAGCACTGGGCAGCTACCCACCCAACAGGGGCCTATTGTGGAAACAGACCTACGTATCAGCTCACTAGACTATCAGCCTGGTTCTTCATTTTTAAATACAAATGAAGCAGGAATTCCCTGGCGGTCCAGTGGTTAGGACTCTGTGCTTTTGCTGCGGAGGGCCCAGGTTCGATTCCTGGTCGGGGAACTAAGATCCCACAAGCCACATGGTATGGCCAAAACAAATTTTTTTAATAAAATAAATACAAATGAACTAACATTCACCAGACACTGAGGGAAAAACAGCTGAGGGAAAAAAGAATGACCAAAATAAACAACCAGAACCAGATCCCAGAGGAAATGGGATCATTTAAGGGTCAGGAGATAATTTTTAAAACAATTCTAATTAGTGTGTCAGAGAAAGTCAACCCAATTTTGGCCTCTGTGAAGCAAGAGCAGCACGCTATGAAAATGAAATAATCAGAGGGACCAGAAGAAAGAAAATTAAAGTGGTGGCTCCCAAATGAAAACCTTCTCTAGGAGGTCTGGAGGACAACGTCAAGACCATCTACCAGTCTACAGAAAGAAAAGACAGATGGGAAAAGGAAGACAATAGGAACAGCACATGGGACTGAAACCATGTACCTCAGATTGGGACTTGAACCCACGTGGCCGGGACTCAAACCCAGCCAAAACCCACGGTCTTCCAACTGAGATCACACACCTGGTTTCAGGACTTAAGGAAGCTCAGGTTCTTGATGTCTCATCACAGAAGGAATTCAGTGAGAGACAAAGTGATAGGTAAGAAGTGGAATTATTTAGAGAGAAACACACTCCACAGACAGAGTGTGGGCCATCTCAGAAGGTGAGAAAGGCACCAGGGTATGGGGCTGTCAGTTTTTATAGGGGGTGGGTGATTTCATAGGCTAATGAGTGGGAGGGGTATTCCAGCTATTTCGGGAATGGGTGAGGATTTCCAGGAACTGGGCCACTGCCCAGTTTTTGATCCTTATGGATCCTTGGAACTGTCATGGCGCCTGTGGGTGTGTCATTTAGCTTGCTGATGTGTTACAGTGAGTGTATACTGAGGCTCAAGGTCTAGTGGAAGTTGACTTGTCTGCCATCTTGGACCCATTTGGTTCTAATCAGTTTATGTCATGTCCTTGGGCTATATCATTCTTTCAAAGGCTGTGCCCTGGCCCCTTCCCTCCTGTTTCAGGACCAATCTAGGAAGTCTAACAACTAATAGGATTTCCAGTAAGAGGAAATAAAGGAAACAGAGAGAAGGAAATTATCAAAGAAATAATAGAAAAAATATTCAGAGTGAAAGGCTAACATAAGACTTTAAATTGAAAGGGTCCAAAAGTAGCCAGCAGGGTGAATGAAAAAAAAAAAAAAATCCAACCTAGACACAGCATTACAAAACCCCACTACACTAAAGATAGAAGACATCTTATATGCTTCCAGAGAAGGAATCTAACAGAGCAAACAAATGACAACAAAAAGCGAAGTTAGCTACAGAGAAATGAGAATTAAACTGGCATTGGATATCTTATTAGCAACAATGCTTTATTTAAGTCAAGAGATCAATGCCTTTAATATTCGGAGGGGAAATAAATTTAAATTCTGTATTCAGTCAAATCATAAATTAAAAGTGAGGGCAGGGACTTCCTTGGTGGTTCACTGGTTAGGAGTCCACACTCTCACTGCCAAGGGCCTCGGTTCAACCCCTGGTTGGGGAACTAAGATCCCACAAGCCACGTGGTGTGGCCAAAAAAAAAAAAAAAGTGAGGGCAAAACAAAAGATTCAAAGTTTTCGTCTCATTTATTCTTTCTGAGGAAGTACTTAAGAATGTACTTAAGCTAAACAAGAGTAAAACAAGAAAGAAAAAGACACAGCATCCAGCAGACAGTGGATCTAACCCAGGAAAGCAGCTGTGGAAGGGAAGTCTGTTGGGGGCTCAAGGCACGCCTTAAGAATCAGCTCTCCAGATCAGAGCGAAAAGAGAAGAGCGTTTTGCAAACAGTGTTTCCAGAAGGAAGGAAGGAAATACATAACAAATTATTAAAGTAAATGACTAGGTAATTTCAAACACAGAGTACAGGTCCTCCTCACCCTATGATGAGGTTACATGCAGATAAACCCATCCTAAGTTGAAAATGCATTTGCCACACCTAACCTACACCATACCTCAGTCTAGCCTACCCCGAACGCGCTCAGAACACTAACGTTAGCCTACAGCTGGGCACCACCATCTAACACAAAGCCTATTTTATAATAAAGTGTCGCTATCTCACGCAATTGAATACTGTACTGAATGTGAAAAACAGAATGGCTGTCTGGGTACAGAATGGTTGTAAGTGGTTTGCCCTCGTGATCTCAGGGCTGCCTGGGAGCTGTGAAATACAAGTACGGTACAGCTGACAGAGAAGCTGGGGGACAGCAAAGGACAGAAGAGGTGCTGGGAAGGGAAGGCCGGAGGCTTCTCACCGATACTCTCCCCCAGCAGAGTGATACAACCTATAGTACATGGAATAAGGACTAAAGATTTCGATATATTTAGGATTCCAAAGGCAATTAAGAAAAAAACCCTGGAAATAATAATATAAACATCAAAAATTGGGAGGAGGAGGGAGGGAGGGAGGGTGAGGAAAATGTAAAGGAGCTGAGACTTTCATCTTCCAGTGTGGGAAACTGTAATGTCAAAATTGATAAATCAAGAAAGAGCTGCATAAGCATATTACTCAGTTAAGTGTCTAGAAGAAATCACCAGAAGCACTAACCCCAGAAATTGTCTTAATGGTAGTTACTTCTGGAAGGCAGAACCAGGGTGGGCCAGACAGGCCAGAGCCTGTCTCTACTTGACCGTGTGACTGCACGACTTTGATAAATGCCCCAGCCTACCCCAGACATTCTTATTCAGTAGGTCCAGACTCTGTATTCAGGAAAGCTCCTCAAGCGATTCTGATGACTAACCTCTGCATCCCATTCAGAGCTGAGAAATGATGATTTTATGACCTCATCTGATACCGAAGCCCCCTGAGGTAGGCTAGTCGGCTACTCGATTCCTCATTTCTCATTCAGAGAAACTGAGTCTCAGAGCAATTCCGTGATGTGGCCCTGAGCCTGGGGTACTTCTCGTGTTGGGTGATGCTGGCGCCCTTCCCCACCCTGCTCTGGTGCTGTCCTGGCCGAGACCTGTCTGGCAGGGCTTCCCCTGCTGGTCACGGTTCAAACTGCACTTGTCCTTCAGCTCAGCTGTGCCGGGAGGGCTACGGAGGACACCCGAGGGGACGGGGTGAGAGGCCTGTGCCAGTCTGTGCTGAAATGGAGCCCCGGAGCCTGGTACCGGCCCTGTCCTCCAGTCGTTGGAGGAGACCACATGCCACCCTCCTCTGCCCGCTGGCACTGTCCCGAGTGGGCACCGCACAGCACGGGGCTCCCTTGTCCGCAGGAAGGCAGAACAGAAACAAAAGTCTGCTAGTGCCCCAGACCCAGAGGAAGGCAGGAAGCCTTAATCAAACACTTTTACTTGCAGCAACAGTGACTAGAAACCAAACTTGAGAATGAGGGCAGATCCCTACAATGCACCTGGGGAATATTCTTAGTTCTTCCAAGGACTTGCCAGTTTTTCTTAATTTTTAATTGGGAAATATACTGTAAATATTAAGTGTGTGTGTGTGTGTATATATATATGTAACACACGTATATATGTATATATATACATACACATTTTACATACACACATATATACACACACATATGTACATAAACTATATACTGTTTAAAGACCTAACATAAAATAACATCCATGCATGGAGCACACAGCCCAAGAAACAAATATTACCCGAAGTCTCTGACTTGCCCCGCCAGGGATAATCACTTTGCTGAATTAGGGGTTAATCATTTCTTTTTTTGTCTTCCTAGTTTTATGAGGCATGAATGCATCCCCAAGCAGTGAATTGTTTAGTTCTGCTTGTTTTTCAACGTGATCTAATCGGAAGCAAGGAATCACACGGTGAGTATCTTATGCCTTGCTTTTCCGGCTCTATGCGTGTAGAGCCTTCCTTCCTGACGTGTGTAGCTGGGTGGAGAAGTCCAGTGCAGGATTTACTTACTTACTCTTATTGTTAGTTGTTATCTGGACTGTTTCTAGTTTTTTCTATGCTGCCAGGAAAACTCTAATGGGAGTGGCTGGCCTTTTAAAATGCCCCTCGTCCAGAGCCCCAGGTTTTGCCTCTGTACAGAATACCGGGCCTGTAGCTAGAGTTCTGGGAGTTCCCTGCAACCACGAGAAGATGGGATTCCCAGGGGTCCCTCTGCTCCCTGGCCCGGCCTCACTCACACACAGAAGCCTTCTGCTCTGAACCTGAGATTCCCCACCCTTGCTCTAACAGCAGGGGAAACAATGGCCTTTTCAGAGGCAGAGTCCGGATTTCTGAGTCACACCCCTCTCCCTACTATCTGCCCCCTTCTCCCCAGGTAAGAGAACAGAGTTCTCAATGAAAGGGCTCCATTGATGGCCACAGGGTGTGAAAGCGTGAGAGCCGGAGCAGGAGGGGACCAGGCTCTGCCCTGCCATCTGGCCCACACGGTCCTCGCATTTGCCACATGGCTACAGGGGGAACAAAGGAAACCGGACCGTGGTCAGGGCCAGGCATGTTTCCCTCTGTTACATATATTGTTCCATTTAAGGCTCATATAATTTTAAAGGCGGAAAAACAACAACAAAAGATGACTAACACTTCTGAGTACACACCATATGCCACTGTGCTAAGTGCTTTAGATACCTTATCCCAGTGGGTCATAACCCATGACAGTGGTGAGGAAATTAATTTAGGAGGTTAAGACCAGCACCTAAACAAAAGGAAACAGACAAGACTGGAATGAAGATGAGAATACCAGAGCGTGTCCCATAAACTAAGGGTAAGTACTGTTTTGTGAATTCTTTCTGTACCTTATATTCACATATATTTCTCTCTCTGCACTGGGTCACAATGTAAACTATATATCTCTCACTGTGGATAGAGGCTAAAAAAATCTTAAAACACCCTTTCTTGTCTCATTTCTTTCATAACCATCCTGACGTAGGTTCAGTTACTTACTAATTTAACAAGGAAATAACTGCAGCACTTCCTCAGCTTCATCTGGGCCACACAGCTCGGTCACCAACCACCCACCAGCCTCCCGCTACGCTTTCTCTTTCC